CTAGGCAGCCTCCGCTCATAGGAATAAAACACAAACTATTTTTCCATGCCCAAGCAGCCTTGAGCCTCAAGACTTAAGAACTACCTGAATTAGGATCCCTTCCACCTTGGGCCAAAGCCTGGGCTTTTGTCACATTTATAAAAGACAATGCACGTCAAGGAGGATGGCCCCAAACTTTTCATTTTACTTAAGCTGCTGAACAGGCCCCAGATAGTATCAGTCTTGACTAGCTTTGTTGGAGACAGATCAGCAATATGGAAACTATGACTACTATGGCCTCACCATTGCATCTCACCAGCGCCAGTTCATCCAGTTCCCTTCAAACTGGGCCATCAATCCAAGAGGTCATTAAATAGTGGAGGGGTTTCCGGATGTTCAATTTAAGAGTGATTGAGAATCCACACCGGGCATGTATCCAAGCTGAAGGCCAGGACTGGGACTAGGACCCAGAATCAGGATCTGTGGAATTCTGTTGCCCATCTCAGCTTAGTCACTTTAAACATCAAACTATTTACTACTGACTCTCTGCAAACTCACAAGTTTTCCTTGTGCTCTGGGAAAGAAGCCTGGCAGAAAACGTCTTGGTGCCATGTGGCCCTGTGGTTCATAAACCAGGATGGGGGGGCAATAAAATACTAGCATAGATTTCAAGTGCATGCCTTTGAAATTGAAAATGAAGGAGCACAAGGAGGTTTCTTCTCAGCCGTTTGCCTAGTGCTGAATCAGGAAATAAATCAATTTTTTATGAGGATGCAGAAGGGCTGCTCATAGTCTCCATGCAAGCAGCCCAGTAACTCAAAGTGATCCATCAGTCTGCAGTGGTTTCTAATTCCTGAACTATCCTCTGTGGCATAGGTAGGTCTTGTGGTAGTTACTAACAAAGTCAGGTTGCTGCAGTTCTATATGCACAGGACAAACTAAAAAAAAAAAGGTGACAGACCAGAAAGAGAGGAGTGATTTCACTGATAACACACAAGGTGTCTGTATTAGAGCCAGACAGACTCATGCTCCAGGAGTGCCTTCGCCATAAGATCATGCTGCCTAATCCCTGCTTATCAGCCGCTTCACAACTGACTGAGACCTTTCACGTGCTCCACTGTTGCACAGAAATCCCTCAGATTTGCCCTGGAAGTAAGTGCAGGGGAGCCCCTTTGCTTGAATCATGATTCCAGTGCCCCATCCATACTGGTGCTGTAAACAACAGGGTGGCCAGGTGCTACAGAGCACGCACAGTGGTGCTCACTGAATACCTGTCTGAGACCATCTGCTCCAGCTCCAGTTTGCACATTATGGGCACGTTTACACATCCATTAACATGCTTTAGTTAATATGTATTAAATCTAGTACCTCCATTGTGAGATGCTTGGAAAATGCACGTTAGCCTATTTTAATGCATGTTAACTAAAGAGCATTTTTTTAGTGACGCTTTAATGTGCTTTAAAATAAGCTAATGTACATTAAAGTGCATGTGTAGACGCACCCTATTGGTTCACAAAGTGATGGTGAACTCCAAAGCTCCAGGAGCCATTCAAACTACCAATAGATCAGAGATGATTCCCGTTGCTAAGTTACCTGGCATTATACACTTAGACTCCTAGGAACATCTCCATAGGAAGCCTGGTTGAGTATTAGACCTGTGACCTTGGGAAAATCTCTTACTGGCTTAGGATGGAAATGAGAAGAGAGCTTCTTGTAGACAGTGTTAGCAAAGTCTTGGGGCAGCCTTCCAATAGAAGCAGTAGAGGCAACACACCCAACTATCTTATAGACCAAGCACAATAAATGTGTGGGACATGGTGCTTGAAATTTGCAGGGAACCGGGCTCACTAACCTAAAAGGTCCCTTCCAGCTCTAGGTTCTTAAACCAAATCTCCAAGGCCTGAATAGTCTTTTCCTACATGTTTATATAGTCCCAAGCCCAGGGGGGCCTCAGACACAACTCTAATGCAAACAAAGCCATGCAAATAAAATTAATTTCATCACTGCATCTAGCCACAGAAGACAGAATGATTGGCAGGCAGAGAAAAGATATTTGCTGGTGCAACTGGGCTTCCAAAATAGCTGGACGATTGTAATAGCATAGTGCCGCTGCGGAGACAGACCTGGGATTTGGGGTGTGGAGGGTTGGGTTTGGCAAAGCACTGAGCCAAAACATGTCATCAACCCCCCTCCCTTGAGCTGGTGGGACTTAATTCCAAAAGCTCTCGACTGTGAGAGCAGAGCAAGCTTTCCTGTTTAAGCACAAAAAAATGGCTTAAGAAACAAACATTTGGAGAATCCCCAGCTTTCTGTAGGATGCTCAGGGGAAAATCAGTTTATGCACTTGATAGGCCTTGATTCACTGGATTAAAACATGCTCCTTTTTTTTTTGTTTGTTTTTTTGGGTGTGGGTGTGGGGAAGGGGTACTGTACGACACACTGATCCCAGCAAACAAATGCCAGCAGGTCTCCAATGCAAATCAGGTTTCCTGAGTTATTGTCACTTGTTTGTTAGTTCGGTAACTGATCTGAGGGCTAATCATCATTCATAAAAGCCACTGTCATCCAATGATGCATTTTCTTAATTTCCTGGTAAACACAGAGCATGAATATTTTAGACCTCTCCAGTCATGTTTAATGGCTGAGAATAACTGAGCCCTATACACGTTGCTACTTGCATGGCAGGAGTAATTTATTTGGGCATTAAAAATCATCATCAGCTCCCTCCATTTCAGCTTGGGGCTGTAGATATTGATTTGTTTCCAGCATCCATTAGAACTGCGGGTAGGAGGATGTTGTGCTCTGGGAGAGGAAGGGGAGCTTTAAATAGGCCACAACTTGGCTTTTACAACACTCACGGACTCTATTTTACCATCTAAGGGCTTGTCTGTACTTATGTGTTTGTTTTCTTGCCACTGATCTCCCAGGCTTTTTGCCTGGGTCAGGCCATCTCCAAAGGCCCCTCCAGCCAGCCCTGCGTGACATTTTTTCTAAGGGTGAACAAACCCTATGGCTCCTTCAACTAGATGACTAGGCTCTTTACAGAACTCTCCTCTGACACCACAGCTCCACCAGCACATCCAAAGTAGCTGTATTTCCAAGGACTTCAAGCATAGATGGAAGTAATGCAACCCAGAAGTAGCTGCAGTAATGCAGGCGGCCTTCCCAAAGAAGCCAGCATGCACTTGCAAACTGGTACAGAACCTGCTAGATGTTAGTGTTCAGAGGGCCAAGCGAGAGTCCACTGATGGACCCGAGTCCACCTTCCATTGTTGCAGTGCTGTGCTTTTGGGATGCAGTAACTGCTGCACTCCAGCCCTCTGATGAATAGTTTTCAGTCATTCCCAGTGAACAGAGAGTCCCAGAGCTGCCATTCACCCTTGTCAAAGATGGATAGCCGTCCCCACCCAGCTCCTGATGTGCTGTTTCACACCAGCATGATGTCAGGATTCTTTTGAAATGGTCACTCTACCTCTCTAGCCTGCATCGCAGGCTGTCCATTTTAGCTTGACCCCAGGAGGGCAAGATCTCTGCTCCCAGTCTGGCTCGAGTCACCTAAGCTAGGGACAGACAACACCCCTATTTTCACTTCATTAAGGACAACTGAAAAACAGAGAAGTGTTCTACATTATTTCAACCATGATATGATAGCACATTGAGGCACTGTACATGCAACAAGGAGGCAGAAGTTACCATTAGTATAGCAACTGCTGCCCTTTTATTTCCCTGACATAGTATGAACTGGAAGAAAATCCAGTCTTCGGGATTAGAGATAAATTACTGCCTCTTCCTACCAAACTTTTCCCTACTGTACTTGAAAGAACAACAGGGTGCCCAAGATCTCATTTCTTTCAACACTGGCTTGGCTAGAGGCTCGAGTCATTTGAGAGAGAAAGCAGGCACTACTTATGGATCTTTAAAAAGAATTCTTCAACATCGGTATCAGGAAAGTTGGTGCCGTCTGCAATATTTCATGAATAATTGGTGTCCTATTGTTAGCAGCAATAAAACCATCAGGGATTAATTCATCTGCAGCATGTATGCAGGAAAGAAGACACATTACTGATTGCCCTTTTACTAGTACTTAAAAAACCCAAGTAGCTTGACCCTGTTCTGAGAAGTCTATTCCTGACAGCAGGTCATGGGCTGCATTGTACTGGCCGTGTTTGAGAGAGTTGGAGCTAACAGAGAGTGTGGTGAGTAAAAAAAAGGCCTGCCCTTGATAGGAACAGAGACATAGATAGACATACATTGAAGGGAAGTGGAGTGGACCTCTGAAATGGGAAGTGTCTGGATAAACTAGTTAATGCAGCTATGCATTACCTAAAGACAGTGTTGGAAAGCAATACCTTGTTCTGAGAAACCCTTTTTGGGTATGTAACTAGCAGTGAATAGTAACCCCAGAGAGAACCATGACAGCTTGAACCCAGTCAGGTCCCATGAGAAGTAACTCCTATAATGCTGCTTCTGCCCTGTCTCTTTAAGCAACAGGGACAACCCAACAGAGATCCCATTACTACTGGTTTATACAGTGCCCAGGCCCCATCTGAGTCCTTCAACACTACTGCGATACAAACTAATAATATGGGTCATCATCAAAGCAGTAATAGCTATTCTCTAGATCTGGTGGGAGAGTGAGTCTGTGGAGATGGGGAGCAGTCTCTCCTTCCAGGGGCAGGAGGAAAGAGGAATGGTTGAATCAGTATTGGGCCCCTCAGTTTAAGAGGATACTTGCCAAATGGCTTAGTTTTCTTGTGCATAAAAGAGTCCGTTTCATTCTCTGAGCTTGCAGGAACACTGGAGCCCTTCATTTGTCATTCAGCCACAAAAACTTATAGTGCCTCATGAGCCGACTTCCCGGAGCCCATCCGATTTTCTGGCTACGTGCATCATGCGCAGCACAAACTGATGGAGAAGTTAAACCATTTCTGTGGCCAGTTCAGCTTTTAAATCCCCAAGCAGAAGATATGTGGTCTCAGTAATCCACAGTTTCCAAACCACACACGAATATGCAGCAGAGAGTTTCGGAGGCTTGGAAAAGTCAGCTTCTCAGTAGAAAGGTCTCCACACCTTCAAATGCAGCAGAGCTGATGCTGCAAGAATATGCCCTACCAAGCAGAAGCTGGAGCAGGTAGTACAGGTAACAAGCAGGGCAGAGGAGAGTGCTGTGACCTGGTGTATAGATTGGCAAGTAATTATCTGTTAGGACAGGGTGAAGATATATTTAGTACAAACACAGCTGGAGGGGCAGTTTGGCTCAGTGACGAGAGTCTGGGACTGGGGCAGTCAGGAGACTTGGCACCTATTTCTATTTGCTACTGGGCTGCCCTGTGACCTTTGGAAAGCAGCAGTCCCCCGGCTTCCCTCAGTTTCCTGTCCTGCCCTTGGTCTGTGCTGCCCTATCAGGAAGCTCTTTGGGGCAGCGACTCTCTTACTATGAGTGCCTATAGTGCCTGGCACAATGAAACCCAGCTGCCTAGGTCATGGCCAAGACACAGCAGCATAATGCAACTTTGTGCATGTTAAATACAATTGGCTCCCATTATTGTACCGAATTATATGGTGCTCTGCTAAGGATGTGGATTTATTTATTTCTTTTAAAAAAATTAATACTTTCCTAAAATCAGAGCTGCATTTCGAGGTTTTGAGGCAGTCGCTCTGTGCTAGGTAGGCAGAAACACACTTAGCATTTAATTGCAATGTTATTTCTCAAAAAAACCCCCCAAGAAACAAACACCAACCTTCTTTTGTATAAGATACAATTAGAGGGCAGCCGTTGATGATGGAGGATATGATCAGATACATCCCCTTGCAAATCAGATTTCATTAAAATTGGTTACTTCAATCCAGGCCCTGTTTGCTGCATCACGCTGAAGGAAAGGTAGCAAAAATAAAAATCCATTGCAATTCAGTTCACACACATACACACAAGAGGAACAGAACAGCATGACCAAGAGGGATTGTTTCATCTTCAGAGCAGCCGCAAACCTGGAAGTAGAGTCACACTTACTCACACATGCCTTAGGGCATCATATTCAAGCCGCTGAAGCAGATACGTTGTCACTAACCATCCCCCTGAATACAGCTACATTCTTCTGCCTGAATACGATGTGATGCGTACAGTTGTTCATGTTCACACAGATTTGAAGGGGCTGTTTCATAAGTACACTTGCTACTGTGGAACTGCCCACCAATTTGAAAAGATCCTTACTGAGCTACTTTGACTCTTTTTGCTTTTCTTTCCTTGCTTTTACAGCAATCTTTACTGATGCATTTCCAGTTCCCTGGAGCAGCCTTGCTGACCTCTCCCCACTGCGCCAATTCTCTGCCTACCCCATCAAAATGCAGATTCAAAACCCACCTCTCTTCCTGGTTACTGTGACTGCATGCAACCCTGCAAAGAACCCCAGGCAGGAGGAAGGCTCTGCAAAATTATGTCCATTATCAGCCCAGTTAACTGCATTTCAGTAGTGGATAAAGACTGGGGTCAGATGGTGCTAGGTCCTGTATGTAGATAATGAGCTCTGTGCTGTGCAAGTGAAAAAGCAAATATAGAAAAAGGCCCAGTTTCCAGATGGAAAAGTTAGACACAATTAGATTAGTGGCACATGCGTGCCACCCCATCAAGAGGGAGAGCTTATGGGTACATGCATAGCACTACAAAAAGGGGCTGCTCTACTTTCAGGCACAGCACGTCTCACCACAATGTTCTCCAGCACCAGAGAAAGTTTAGGTTGCGTATTAGTAGGAGCACTGCAGGCAGATTGAGATTCGTAATGAGCTTGGCCAAAGTCCCACAGGGGGTCTGAATCGGAGCTAGGACTAGGAACCTTCCCTGCACACCCAGAACTTTAACCATCAAACCATCCTCCCTTTAATATTGTTAGCATGGAGACCTTTAAGCTACAGGTCCACCAGAATCAGCTGGAAACATGCTCTGAAGCAATCACAGAGAACAGGGAAGCCACTGACCTATAAAAACAGACTATTGCCTAGGTAATGGCAAATCAGGATCTGGTCATGTTTGTTTGGTGTAAGCCGAATATGACACCAGACAATAAATTGCAGTTAAAACACAATAGGTGCAGTTGGTCAAAGCCTAAAAGTTGTCAGTAGGATGGTCAGGGCACAGTGGATTTCAAGCAACAGGAGTTATTGGAGACTAGCCATTGTTCAAAGATGACCCAAAGAGCCACAATAAAAATGAATGCTGGACTAAAAACAGAGATTCAAAATTAACATACACAGGCAAATAATGGGGGAAGCCAAAGATTAATAGATTGTAAGGCCAGAAGGGACCTTAGAAGATCTTCAGGTCCAGCCCCCTGCACCAAGCAGGAAAGATAACTGGGCATCAAGTAACTCCAGCAAGGTGACTGTCCAGTCTCCTCTTGAAGATTTCCAGGGTAGGTGATTGCACCATCTCTGGAGGGAGCTTATTCCACAGTCTGGACATCCTGACAGTGAAGAAGTTTTTCCTAATGTTGAGCCTGAATTGATCTTCCAGGAGTTAGTGGCCATTACTCCTGGTTTTCCCCCAAGGGTGCCCTGGTGAACAGCTGCTCACCAAGCCCTTGATGTACTCCCCTAGTGTAGCGGTAAGCAGCTACCAGGTCCCCTTTTGGCCTTCTTTTCCTCAGGCTGAAGAGTCCCAGATCCCTCAGCCTTTCCTCATATGGCTTGCCATGTAAGACTCTGACCACATGGGTGGCTCTTCTTTGGACTCTCTCAAGCGTGTCCACATCCTTGTTAAAGTGCAGTGCCCAGAGCTGGATGCAGTACTCCAGCTGCGGTCTCACCGGTGCTGAGCTGAGTGGAAGAATCACTTGCTTGGTTTTGCTGGAGATGCATCAATTGATGCATGCCAGAGTATTATTTGCCCTACTGCCTACAGCATCACACTGCCGGCTCATATTCATACTGTGGTCTATTATTACCCCCAGGTCCCTTTCATTTGTGGTGCTAGTCGGTTTGGTGCTGCCAAGCCTGTAGGGGTGTTGGGGGTTGCTCATCCCAAGGTGGAGCACTTTACATTTCTCAACATTGAACTTCATCTGGTTCCAATCCACCCAACTTGCCAGCTGGTCTAGGTCCACCCGTATCTGTACCCTATCTTCAATTGTGACCACACTTCCCCATAACTTGGTGTCATCTGTGAACTTGGCCAGTGAGCTCTTTACCCCCGCATCCAAATTGTTAATAAAGATGTTGAAAAGTACTGGACCAAGCACCGAACCCTGCGGGACACTGCTGCTCACTTCTTGCCATGATGATACAGATCCATTCACTATGACTCTCTGGGTCCTATCCTGCAGCCAGTTTCTCACCCACCTGATTGTCTTGGATTTAAGCTTACAATCTTCCAATTTTCTCATGAGGACATTGTGGGATACTAGATCAAAGGCCTTTTGGAAGTCAAGGTATACAGTGTCAACCTGCTCTCTAGTGCCCAGGTGGTGAGTTACCTGGTCATAAAAGGAGATGAGGTTGGTAAGGCAAGACCTGCCTATGAAGAAGCCATGCTGGCTGTCATTCAGAATCTTACCTTCTGCAAGCTTATCGCAGACAGACTTCTTGATGAACTTTTCTAGGATTTTCCCTAGGATGGAAGTTAAGTTGATTGACCTATAGTTACCTGGGTCCTCCCTCCTGCCCTTCTTGTGGATGGGCACAACATTGGCCCTCTTCCAGTCCTCAAGGCCTTCTCCAGAGTGCCACGAATTGTGGAAGAATTTCGCCAGGGGTTCCGCAATGACTTCGGCCAGCTCCTTCAGCACTCGTGGATGAAGATCATCTGCTCCCGCTGACTTGTATATGTCCAGTTTTTTTAGATGTATACAAATTGCTCATTCAGATGTGGAAATTGCCCATTAAGAATGACAGGTAGGGACAGAGCCCCGCTTCCGGCCCCGCTTCAGCCCCCCACCCCCACTGCTGTATGTCCAGCCCTGCTCCTCACCCCTGGCCGCTCCGGGTCTGGCCCTGCTCTACCTCCTCCCCACCCCTGCTCCGTATCTGCCTCTCTACCTCCCTGCCATGATCCCCTTCCTCTTCGCCCTCAGGCCACCCCCACAAACTTCCTAGCAGCAGCTCAAACTTGGGCCATGCAGCGAATTGATGCCCATCCTCTGGGTGGCGCGTGCACAGTTGCCCAAAAGTGTTACAGACAGACACACAGACAGACAGACTAGGCCTTTTATTATATTAGAATTGGGAGGGAAAGCCTAGGTCAAGGATGTGTCTACTGCTAGAGACAAACTATTCAAATTACAAACTTGATGTAGCTACCGGAGAGAAAAATATTCTGGAGAAGTTTTGATGCTGAATTTGGAGAGAGACAGAACAGTACATCCATCTTATATGGTGATGTGGGTAGAACAGGAAGTGCCCTGCCTGTGACACAAGAAGATGCAAGGCAGTGTCTGCTAAAATTAAATATTTCCAAGGCACTGGTCTGTATAATTTACCACTACTCCCACCATGCTCCCACCCCCTCAAAAGAAAAAAAAAAATCTTAAAGGACTGCAACTCTCTACACATTATCAATAGAGGTCAGGAAAGGATTTTTTTTTACTCGTGGATGCACAACTGGTCAGATGTGTTGCTTTTGTTTATCCCTGGCTTGTGTGTTGTAGGAGACAGACACTGAATACCTCTTTGTTCCCATAATCCTGAAGAAATTGGTAGGAACTGGGGGGGAAACCTTGTATTTTCACAAAATTCCTCCAGGGTTCCCTTGGGTCAATGAAATCAACCTTCAGCCCAATATGTTTTCCAGCCCTGACAGTCATTTTTATATTCTATTAAGTCATTTGATTTCAGACGGTCTTTTTGCCTGATATTTTGCAAAGAGATAAGTGCTAGTCACAGCAGAGAGAGTTTATGCCTAGGTTATGGCACTGCCTGCCAATGCTGTGAGGAAACCTCTGAAGACAGGAGTAATTCTGAAGACAGATGCAAGAGTCCCCAGGCCTGCAATAGGCAAGTCCTTTCTCTACATTCAGAGAATAACAATATTTCACCTGCTGTGAAAGATTTAGATCAATACCCTTTGGCTTGCTGGAGACCATACTTCAGGAGGATAAGGATGTTTCTCCCAGCGATGCAAGGCGATGAATGGGAAAGTCAATCGTTGCAAACTCCCTGAGTCACAGAGTACACTCCCAACAAAAGCATGGGGATTTAAAATGGCTTGAAGGAGAAAGGTCTGGCTGTGAACTCACCCACACATTATTCAAATTCTGCACACAGAGCACATGGGTTTTGTGCCAGTTTTTAGAACGGTAGGTTTTACCTTTCATGTGCAAAGTTAATTCTAAGAGCTAAATCCAATCCCAGTATAAACAGGAGCTGCTTCACAGGAGTCAATACAGCTGTACTGGTAGATAGCAGGCCTGAATTCAGCCCTGAATCCATGGTGGTCTGATCAGCTGTAACAACAGCTGGAAGATGTTCCTGGACTCATTGTCAAGGCAGGGAGTATTACTTCAGCCTGTTAAGATTTCAGAGCACAACCCTATCATTAGCATCAGTATCTTCCTTTGTGCATTGTGGGATCGTATATTAAAGCATTTAAAAAAGGCAGCTCAGAAAGTTTAATGTCTGGGTATTTCTAGAAGAGCTTGAAGTAAAAGCGTCAGGGATTACATGTCCAGAGAGATGAAAACAGCACCAGCAGATCAGAAGAGACCAAAACAGCTTCAATCTAAGATGCTTCTAAGAAGCTCCAGCTCTTAACAAGAGCTCAAACCTCTGCTACACTCTACTGCTCCACAGCTGCACAGCAGTGAAGGTTTCGAAACAAAGCCAAAAAGTCGCTGGGGACCAAGAGAAATCCACATGACATTTAGGAACGAGAGATAACAGCAAA